TATATATATACATATATATATATATATATATATATGTATATATATATATATATAAAACACAATATATATATGTGTGTATATATATATAACACAATATATATATGTGTATATATATATATATGTGTGTGTGTGTGTGTGTATATATATATAGTATTTATTTTATGTGAAATTAGATTTTCTTCAGAACTCCTTTCTTTGCAAAAACTTGCCCACATTCCAGTGTGCACTGAAATCCATTTTGTTGTATAGAAATGATGCCTTTTCACAAACTTTTCTTATTGACTGTCGGGTTTTTCCATAGTAATGAAATAGTGAACTAGTTGTATTTATGATGGCAGGAATTGTCAAGGTTAGACAGCTGCAGTGGAATTTATCACAGACAACAAAAATGAAATGTTGACTCAATAAGGAGAGCCATTAGAACTCACTTCTGTTCGTATTTTAGTCTCCTAAGGGAAAAAGGCATAGCAATTATTTCTATTTTCCTTCTTTGTAAAACCCATGAGAAGTTATAAAGACTCACTTAGACCTTTACTGAAAAATTAAAAACTGATAAAAATTCTGAAATTATCACAATGAAACTCCCTTGTATTATTAATGCATGCTAATTCAAAAATAAAATAAAAATTAAAAAATTCTAAACAGAATATATGTATTTTTTTATTCCTTCAGCTCCTCTGCATTTATTTTCCAAAGCTTTTTCATGCCTTCTGAATTTGTTTTCTGAAGTCTTTTCTCCTCAGATTTTTTTTTTATGTAAAACCAGGGAGCTGAGGATATAGCTCAGTGGCAGAGCCATTTTGCCTAGCATGCCCAGCACTATAAGAAAAAAAGTAAAACCAGAATTATGTTTTAAAAAACACAACCCAACTCTTAAAAGTATCATCTATATAATTGTTACATATTTTTCAATTTTCAAATCTAAAACCTGTTGTATGTCCATTAATGGTTAATATGTTAACATATTTATTATTGTTAATATATTTATTATTGGTATAAAATTACTCATACTGGTTTATTACATCTAAAACAGATTTTTTTTGTTAGGAATTTCAGGGTGTCATAGGTGCATTTTAATAGTTAAAGACCTGCAAGTTCAGTTATTGTTCTTAAATGAGCAGTACTTTTATTTTTTAATGTCTTTTATGAAGATACAAAGAGGCCATCAAGAAATAAACCATTAACATTGCATATGCAAGGTTGCTGAGTTAAGTGCTATGGAAATGTCTATTTGATCTGAATAGTAGACAGATACCTGATGCTTAAAGTGATTGAAGTCAGGTCCTGGCAACAGGCTGAAGTCAGGTTGATGCTGTCAGATAAGACATTAGAAGAGACTGTATTTTTGAGTCTTTGACCATGTGCTCCTCTTATTCCACAACTGGGAATGAGAAACAAGAAGAAGAAAAGGCAATTCTTCCTATTTCTGTGCAGGTGACCTTAGTGATTGAGTTCTGACAGGTTTAAGCAAAGTTGCTAATCCATCTGTCCACATTTGTGTCTAGGAAGGGTTATCAAATGTTCTTCTTGGCTCTAAAAGCACTGCCTCAGCCTTAATTGCTACCTTTAAGGTTGATCTGTCAACTGTGCTAGTAGGAATATAATTTTGCAGTGCAGTCACCTCTGCTTCTATACTTTACAACTTTTCAATACTCTATAACTTTTCAATATTTGTGTTGCTAATATTTAAATAAAATCATGATGTATTTACATAAATGGATCTTCCTGGACAGAAGATATAGTTTGATTGCCAAGTATTTTAATTTATCCTTTCCGCTTTAGAGAAAATTTAAATAGAATAAAAAGATGGAGACAATTCCTTCTTCTGTCATTTACTTTGTTGCAAGGCCAATATGAAAGAAAAATGCCACCTGCAAAGAATGAATGTGCTTTGAAAGGTTCAGTGCTTGTTCTGCAGAGCTATTATTCCTTCAAGTAAGAGATACTATGATTTTAAAAGGGAGAGAGAGTGAGAATACAGAAAGGCCTGGAAAAGTATTTCCACAAAGAGGTAGGGAATTCATCCGTCCAGCTCGTGATGAGTGTCCACATCACAGGTAATGATCTGCTGATGATTGAGGGATTGAAGCAGTCCAAGAGAAGCCCTGCCTTCAAGACAGGAAATGCACAATAAGCATGATAAATGAAACCACTGTCTAATTTGTTAGATGATCCTAAGGCAAGGGAAAATGGTAGTAAGAATCCTGGTGGGGTGAATTTAAACACGATGTGCAAGGAAGGATTCTTGGTAATATTTGAGTCCAGACCTGAAGGCAGTGAGCAAGTAGGTACAGCAGAAAGAAGAGAAGTAAAGACCCCAGGCTCTATGTTGAATAGAGGTGTGGGGATAGCAGGAAAAAAGACTGGAAATAGACTTCAAAATACAGTAAAAACACTGCATTATCTCCATCGTTTACCCAGGCACTTTACCAACTGCTTCTACATAAATTAATTCAATCTAGATGGCAACCAGTGAGCTAATTATTTTAAATGTGTTTATAGACCCAAAGTAACTCCAGACCCACTAAATCATCCAAGGTCATCTTGTACCTCCCCAGATCTTTTCCACTTACTCTCTCTCCATTCTCCTCTGTGGGCTCTAGATATAGATTGGTGATTGTCTCCTGGCCTAGGAAAAATTCCTGCTTGAGAAGAGATTGTCAAAAGAGCTGCAAAATGCTTTCCTTGAGTATTTATAATCCCTGACTCTCAACCTAGGCTGGAGGCATGAAAAGGTGATAGAAAGAAATATTTCACTAGAGTCAGGGAAACCTTTCTGGAGAGGAAGCTACTTGGAAGGGCCCAGTGGGATGCAGTTAAATTTAGCTGCAAATCAATGCATTTACTAACTAGTCAGCTAAGGGCATGTCTTACTTATTTAAAACAACCCCCATTTTTCTGAGGGTGTCATTGTATTTCATCTACCTTCCACCAAGATTTCAGGCAAAAGCGTTTTCAGTGTTACTGTCTTCGAGTGGGGGGTGTTTTTTGAGGTACTTGAGACCTTACTCCCAGCACCTAACTTCCCAGAGGTAGTGTGTTTGCTGATAGATTGCCCTAGTCTGTAATGTCCATCACTTTGAAAGATGAATATGTAGGAGTCATCCTGCATTTATAAAACACCTTACAGTGTTCTGATGTCCTTTTTGTCCTCATGCCCTCCTACCCACAGAACAGTATGCAGGTCTTTGCTTACAAAGCACCATTGCTGATGCAGTCTGTGCTGACAAAGGAGAAGTCTGGAGGGGGAAAGGGGAGAACTTCAGCCTTTGCAGAGTTCTGGGTCTTCTGCTATTGCAGATGAAAAATGAATAGACCAAATCATTTCTCTCTTACTGGGAAAGATCCATATTTGGATGTTATTCTTTGACCATCTCCAAGAAACTTGAGTTCTTTAATCCTTAAGTACTGAAGAGTTGTAACTGGTTGTTAGTGACATTGAATTCTGTACTTTTCTTATTTCTTGGAAACAAATCACATACAGCAATTGCAAGATTCTTATATCCCTGCACTTGAAGGACTTGTATTGGATAAAGGCAAATATGTTTATCCTCTTATAATTGACCATTGTATCTTAAGCTAAGGGTTCACCATGATTTATATTTTAATCAGACAAAATAGCGAATTCCTGCATCAAGCCACCAATAGTGAAAAACCATAAAAACTTGAAAGGGCAGAAGGAACACACACACACACAAACACACACATACAACGAGGATTTGTTAAGAAAACCTAAACATTGTTGAAAAGTAAACGCAGGACATTTTTAAAAGACATACCTCTGTGTCCAAATGCCAGAAACCAAATTCTTTTTAGCCCTAGTACCACTTTATTGGTGTTTTTAAAAATTTAGAATATGCTGCTTAATTGGGAGACAATGAAGACCATGGCATTGGCCTAGTACCTGTGGAAAAACCAGATGGAAAGTGGTCTCAAGGGCCATTGCATTGTCTGTTAATATTGCCTGTGTTCTAAAAACTGCAGGTGTTTCAGATTTGGAAAGTATTCCCTTCATCAAAAAAATTTCACTTGTAAAATGATTCTAAGCAAAGAAAGAACAATGCCACCCTCTTCTGTCCTGTCCCCCCATCCATAAGAGATCCCTGTGGGCAAAGCCTTATCTTTCCATCTTTGTAACACTGGTGACTTTGCATAGAACCCAACATCCATTGCGCACCCATTAAATGTCAAATTCTTTTATAATGGGATTTCTCAACTTGGTTGCAATGACATTTGGGGCTCAATAATTCTTTCTTGCAGGAATGGGGGTATTTTGTACACTATGGAAGGTTTTATAACATCCCTGTTCTACTCAACTAGATGCCAAGGCAGCCACAGCAATCATCTGTCTCCAGACATTGTCACATGTCCCCTGGGGATTGGGTGCAAAATTGCGCTGTTGGAAACCACTGTCTTAAAGGGTGTGAGGGAAAGAGTTTAACTACACTTTTTCAGGCTGAAACATACACTCTCCTGTCCTTGCATGTCACTAACATAGAAACATAACACACACACACACACACACACACACACACACGTTCTTACAGAGGAGACATTTGGTTGGGAGCCCTCATTTTGGTCTTTTTTAACTCAAAAAACATTATGACTTGGGTAAATTGCTCACTAAATTTCATCTGTCACCCTGGTTCCTACTCAGAGACAGCTAAAGCCTATTGAAATTGATTTTTGTGTCGGCAACAGAACAGGGATTCAGTGAGAACATGAAAGCTTCCCTTTCATTACTCATCCTTTTTCCCCTCCATATTACTTTAGATTTACTGGGCTCTAATTATATTCCAGTGCCTTCCCCACTGACATTTCTTTTGTTTTAATTAAAACTTCTGGAGGTTTGGGGACACTGTGGGAGAGGGTTTATTCATCAGCAGCCCTGATAAAGAGTCAAATGGGTCCCCATTTGTGTTCCTGCCATTCTGAGAATGATAGCTGGGAACACTGTGGTCCTTTTTCTTTCTGAAACAGCACTGAACGTGCAGCCCTGCTCTTGCCGCAGCTGAGTGACTGATACATCCTGTGGGTGGACTGGCTTCTTTTGGAAGCCATGTCGTAAGTTCAGAGAAATGTAAGTGTCTTTTTATTATTACTATCATTTATCCTCCCTTGCTGTGGTGCCAGCCCTACCCACTGTGGACCATGGGGTTGTAAGTCACAGACTGCAGGGGCCAGTGTTAGGAGTAACTGGCAAGGCTGTGTGGCCAGGAAAGAAGACATGGTGCAGCTGGGAGGTGTGATGGAGTGTGCATGGGGTCTGCCAGAGGTCCTGAGGGGAAGACCTAGTTCCCCCATAAAAGATTCCGTGGAGGAGACACTGATTAGACATCTTCTGCCTCCAGTTGGATTGTCTGTCTTAGGAAAGGGGAAGAAAAGGCAGAGGACTTGGGCAGGGGAGCGTGTGGCCTTGCACTTGTCTGCTATATCTTTCTCTCCTGACTCTTTCCTCAGGGGAACCCATGAGATTATGAAAAACTGCAACACTAACAGGCCACTCAAGCCCCAGGGCCTAATTCAATCAAAAGCTGACAGTAGGAAGCACATTAGATCACCTCAATCTCCTTCTAGTTACAATGTGTATGTTGTTCTGATGTCCCCTGTTCCTTAAGAGAAAAAATTCCTGAAGTGCTTCAGTAGGATTGCCCCAGGTTGTATCGAGCTTTCCCCACGTTAAGCCCCTGATGGATGACCTTATACAGGCTCTGCATAAGGTCATTTGTGGCGATCGGGTTCACTAGGCCTAGAAACTCCATGTTGCCCACCATGATTCAGCACCTTCCCTTGGCAAGATGCCATCCTAGGCAACATCAGATGAATCAGGTGTCAGGCAGAGTCGCTTCCTGGAGGAGTTCTCCTATTTGTACCTAGGGAGCAGTACTTCGAGGGTCAAAGGGATTAGGGAACTCAGAGAGCACATGGCCTCTACACAGGTCACAGAGCCGGTGAACCTACTAAGGCCTACACCCTTCCACACTTCACTTTCTACAAGTTTGCAGACAGCGACCACCTTTGTGTCTCAAGGGAATCACTGACCTCTCTACCGATCTTATATCCACATATTTTTTAAAACATTTTTTCCTGGACTCAAGATTTCATGGAGTATTAAAATCTCACCCGAGGTAGAAAACCAAAACCACTACTGGAAACCCATGTAAGGTTGCTGTAACTTTTAAGTTTTGAAAATTAGCAATGTTTCATTGATGGATATTTTAACAATAAAAATATTTTAAAAATAATGAACACTACTTATGGTGTATGCCTCTTCTTTTCTGAAAAAAATTAACCACAGGGTCCTTTTTTTTCTCCTTTTACTGAAGTTGGCTATAAGCTTCATCTTGGGCTTTTAAATGTCATTTTCCCAGGTGCCACCCCCAACACAGGGGACAGGAAGACTATTGTACTGGGGGTGGGGGAAAATATCTGTATAGAACATCTGGTTGCTTTGAGCATATTTCATCCTCATCCTTTGAACCCCATGTGTAGGGGTTTTTCATGCACCCAGAAATGCATGTGTAAGAGCCACAAACAATTGTGGTCATTCTGTGGCATGAATTAAACAAAAGTGGGTAAGATCTTTGATTTTTGTGCTCACTTTTTGGGTTGAGAGGAGTTTACTGGGAATGTGTTCTTGGCTTAAGGCCATGCCCAGAGACTGGTTCTGCTGCTTTCCGAGCTCTCGTCACCCCTCAGCTTGTCTGCCTCATCACTGCTGTCACTTCAGCTGTGTGTGCCATTCCTGGGTACAGGCATTAGGCTCCCTGCCACGGAATCTGCATACATTAACCATTGTCTGCTGAAAATTGTGACTATTTGATTTGCTTCCCTTTAAGCTTCCATTTTGATTTACAAACTGAGCCAAGCTGGCAGCCACGAAGACTGAAGAGTCCTAGTTTTCAACAAAGAGGAAAACAGTCTCTTGTTCCTCACCTTGGGTCTTTGAGTGTGCCTCAGCTCTCAGCTGGTCCACCCCTGAACAGTCTCTAAAATCATCCACCCTGTGCCACTCAGAGGTGCCAGGCAGAGGAGTTCACAGTAAGTGGTGTCAAGGCAGAGAGCGGTTGTGTGGGAACAGTCCTGTGTCAGGACTTACTTCACCTTTGCCACGCTCTGGGGGTCATGGTGTCTGGATCACAGCTCTGCACACACACTGAGCAGGGCATTTTCAGATGCCTATGCCTGCCAAGAAAACACAGAGACTCCCTTTGACTTGAGGAGTAGACACTGCCGAGAATGTTCTGTGAACAGTTGTGTTCCTCAATCTTAAAGATCTTTAGAATCTTTTCATAAAGTTCTCCTGTCTACTTCTGCCTCAAGACATGTTTTATCAAAGGAAGATAGCATTCCTAAAGATGTCTAGATAGGTGTCTTAACCAAGATTTAATCTTAACTGTGAGTAGAAAATCTAAGTTCACCTTTGTTCTCATCATTGCTACTGGGAGGTAATGCTGAAAACAATTTCTAGTTTCTGTGTGATCTGTGAAAAGGAGAAATAAATTGGTTTCTCTGTGGTGTTTAAAAGAACTTTGTCCACTTAAATTTATCTTCCAGCCTGGTATTTATGAGCAAAGTAATTGTAATGCCTGCTTGCACCTCACCCTATCTGGTCCCATACACATTGTGACTAGATAGAGAATACAAAAGAGTGAGGGAAACTGAGGTGGACATGTGACTGGTACCAAGAACCCAGTGCAATCTTCAAATCTCACTCTTTTATTCAGTCTGTTATTTACAAAGTATTTACTGAGCTCCTTCTGTGCCACTTACTGGGGAAGGCACAGGGGAAGTATATATATCCAGTCTATCCCCTGGTCCTATTGATTTGGTCTTCCTTCTTTTGTTGTTGTTGCTTTTGGTTTTTCACAGTACTGAGGATTGAACTCAGGGCTCTACCACTTGAGCCACGCCCATAGTCCTTTGGCTTTTAGTTCGTTTTCTTTTTTTTTTTCCTGATTTGACTTTTTTTATTTTCTGAAATGGAACCATTGTACATTGTACAAACCATACCTACTGATGGAATAAATAAGTGAAAAATTATACTGCTGTACAACACACCAAAAAAAAAAAAAGGAAAAAAAACACGTAACAGTGAAAAAAAGGTTTTTATACCTCTAACCAGGTCCTCAGCGACAATGGACATTCCAAACCATGACAGTGTTTGATGATGGGAGGTCACCACCCTATAAGAATCGGTCAACAGCCTGGGTTGTGGGTGTAAGTGCCAGCACTTTGTGGAATGTGTAGCCGCAGTTTCCCCATCTTTAGGTTTTGGGGGAAGTAAGTTTGCCCTGGGAGCCCTTTAGGCCACGGGGCCTGATGTCCGCGGAAGGCATTCACTGAGGATCCCCTGCCCCTGGCTTGGCTGAAAGGTCTTAGATTCTGTAGTGGGGACAGGAGGCAAGGGGTGCAGGGGGTGAGGAGCAGCGGCCCTGGGGAGTGGAAGGAAGCAGCAGGGAAGGAAGCACATTGGATTTTGCAGTCTGACCGTTCCGCACGGAGGAAGGCCTTCCTGGCCAGCGTGGAATGCAGGGCTGCTGGCGCTTTGCCTGGCGTGGCCCTAGAGGGGCCCAGCTGGTCCCCACTGCCGGCCCATTCCTACCTTCAGGCACTTCAGAGAAAAACTAATGACAGCCTTGGTACTGTAGACGTCGTCATCTTCATCCTTAACTGCGCCAGCTCCCCTTGCCTGTGCAGAGAGGCTGTGGTGGACAGAAGAGGCGCAGGTGACCCCAGCCATGTTGTCTCCATGGATACGTGTGTTGGGTTCTCCTTCAGCTGTTTATGTTGTAACCTCTCGTTTCTCAAAAAAAGAAACAAATATCCAAACTCATCTTCCACCAAAATGGAGTTTCACCATAAGAAAAACGTTGCCCTAACTCTATAGGATCTGGAGGTAACGCTGCCTTGACCTTGAAATATGTTGAGAGGTCACGAATCTAGATGCTTCCCTGTCAAGACGCAGAACATAGTTCTCCATGGAACTGACCGCCTGAGGGGCAAAATTGATAAGTACAAGGATTTTTTTTTTTTTTAAGACAGAAACCTTTCTGGCATTGTTAACTTCAACATTAAGATTTTCAAAGTTTTTTTTTTTTTTTTTTTCCCCCTTATTTCAGGAGACATTTTGTATGAGGTATTTGAAATTCAGGAACATTTCAATTCTTCTTGAAGTGCAGGAAATAGATAAGTTCCTTAAAATATATATATATAGGAGCTTCACCCTCAGAAACTCTTCAGAAAATGGAACCTGGCAGACACTTCCCATGGTGGTCGGGACAGAGAGCCACACATCAAAGGTGGTACCTGAATATGCACCGATTAGCAAAAAACAAAAACAAACAAAAAACAAAACCCACAGACCCTCCCTCCCCACCCAGTAACACACAACTCAAAGGGAGTCAGAACTCCAGTGCAGTAAAGAAAGCTTAGGAAAAGGTTTAAGGTCTGAGGAGTCTGTATATTAATTAAGAGCAAACCAGGCCTCAGAACTCAACAGTCAGGCAGTTCGTCCAAGGGGGGCGTCTCCACTGAGTGAGAGCCACGCCCATAGTCCTTTGGCTTTTAGTTCGTTTTCAAGTAGAGTCTTGTGCTTTTGCCCAGCTGGCCTCAGACCTTAATCCTGCTACCTCTACCTCCTGAATAACTAGAATTACAGGCTTCTATTTGGTCTTCTACTTCTCATGTTCTCCAGTTCTTTCATCTTCATCAAATTGCCATCATCTTTTAGCTGTATCTAGGGCCTTGGGTTAGGTGGCCCCATCAGTTATGGATTGTTTCCACAGAGGGACCTGGTTGAGAGCTGTCAGATCCTTCAATTTGTAACAGAGAATCTGGGTGGCATACCACGGCATCAATGATTGAAGGTAGATGTAGATAAACGGATGTAACTAGAGCAGTTGATCTATAAAACCACACTTGCCAGTACGTGTTCCACACTCTGATTTCTTTCTATTTGATTTTTTTTTTTTTTATTTCTGGTGCTAGGGATAGAACCTAGGGCTTTGTGCATACTAAGCAAATGCTGTACCACTGACCCACTGAGTCACACCTCCAGCACCTGGGTTTGATTTGATTTATTTTCATGGCTCTGGTAATAACACATTTGAAAAAAAAAATCACAGCATTAATTAGTATACAATGTTGTGGGGGAGAGTTTACAAGTAGGAAATTGAAGACTTCCTCAATAAAATTGAGATTGACACTCAGCTAATTCAAAGGAGAATGAACCATTCTAAGCGAGTGACCTTGGCCGGGAAGGCGGGATGGTGGAGGAACTGCCTGCATTTTCAACAACCTGCATTTGCTTGCGTGCCTCACTGGAAACAAATGTATTTCAGTGACCTAGAAATGAAAGCATTCTCTCTTCCAGGCTAGCCTCAGGCTAGCAGCTTGAAAGCTCTCTTGCTGTTCCTTAGAAAATAATAGCAATAAGAGAGCTTGGGCTTCTGCGGCTATTTCAGACAAAATAGTTTTCCTCTTGCATTCATTTTTGGGAGGTGGTGAAGGAAGGGCTAAAGGACTATAGTACTTGACTGTGTTGGGTTTTACCTTGATGGTGTGGAATTACTTTATATGGACGAAGAATCCACATAGTTTTTCACCTCAAAATGAGGTAGAAGAGAGGAAGAATTGTAGCAGAGTGGGTTTTCAAGTGGTCTGACCTAGGCTGACCCACAGTGGTCCAGAACCCATGGCCTCAAATGCCCTGCTGGTGTCCTTTTTCTTCCTTTCTCATGGACAGGTTTTTTGTTGTTGTAGGATATTACCTGACACTAGGCTTTGGGTCAATTTTCGTTTTCTGTATTATAGACTGTTTGCTAACTTTTGTTCATTTGATTATTTCAGTTGGGGGAAGAAAACCTTATTTCATTATTTTTTTAAGAAATGACTCGGCAGATACAATCTAAGAAGACCTTTCTAATTTTTCTAGAGAATATTTTTGTCTCCCTTTAGTGTTTTTTTTTCCATAGAAATTTAATTTTTAATCCTCATTTGGGCATGCGTTTTAAATTCAAATTTGGATGATGTACATATCTGTATTTTTTCTTATAACTGGAAGTAAATTAAAATTGTTAGTAATAGGAAAATTTCAATGTTTCCCTGTGATAACATCTACCGTCATTACCCTGCTCCCTCTAAAAAATTTTTTTTAAATCCTATGTGAGGCAAGAATGAATGGTTCAATGTTTAAGTAAAATACGAAAAGGTTTGTTTAAAAATCATTTTGAATTCAGCTGGGTAGCAGAAGTGGAACAGTGGAGAGTGCGTCCAGGGATAGAGGTCTCATTGGCTGTCAGAGTCTGGCCTTGGCTCTAAAAGGAGAGGATTGCTAGGTACATTAGGGGTTGGTTCCTACTCAATTCATTTGTGTTTTTATAAAGTTGCCTGTTTGAAAATAGTCTTAAACGTGACTGTGCCTTGGGTTTGATCAGCTGACTCCTTGCAGTTCCCTCACGCTCTGCCTTAATCTGGATCCTAACTGGACTTGACATCCTCTGGTGATATAAAAGGCAGCTCATGCTGAGCAGGGTCCTTCGTGGCCCTCCCCAGACCATCAGAGTTTGACAGCTCAGCAGCCATCTGCTCCAGAGCAGAGGGATACCCTTGCCTGGGACTGAGCTGAGCCGCTCATTGTTCCACCTGCAGGATCTCAGTTAGGCCCAAACTGCCATCTAAAGATATAGTATTCACTCACCTGTCAGATCCATCAACAACTGTAATTTCAGTTTGGAAGTGAAATTTCAAATGGGGGAGCAAGAGGTTATTTTCTTTATCACAACCATACTGGTTAGTAAAAAATGAAACAGAAAAAATCATGTACTCTGAGTTCAAAAAAATAGTACATATTTTATTGATTTCAAACCCAAAACTGCCCAGTGCCTTGTGCTAGAAATGTAACATGGGTTGGTCTTCTTTTGTTTCCTCTCCAGCCTTGGGCCTGTACTGTCTGTAGGCCAGTTATACTCCCCAGGTTGCTCTTCTTAAACTATGTGCTGGGGGGTTCTTGGAACAAATTATTCACTCAAAGAATACTTTCGGCTTCTTAAGGAATTAAAAATTTTGTGCAGTATTTCTCAAATGTGTGTTTGCAGAGGTGTCTTAAGGACTCCCACAGGGAGGGGGAGTTGGGAGGCAGAGTGTCTAGATGGGTGGTTAAGGCCTTGCTTGGACCTGGGATTCCAGTACATTGTTGATTTGGGGGAAGGTTGTACTGCAAATGAAGGTAGAGGAGAAGGAAAGGAGTGAGGAAGGATAGAGAGAAGGAAGGACCACTGGTCCTCTGTGTGCACTGTAATGGTGAGCACAAGGAAACAGGTCATGTTTGTTGGTAGCACAGAGGTGAGGATTGATCCACAAGGAAGTACTTTAGCTGAATCTAGAGGGCAAAGGACATCCGAGACCAAGAAAACAGACTATCAGAGAGGCTAAAAACAATACAGAACATTTAGAGAACTGCAAGCAGGTGGACCAGAGTCAGAACAAGTGGGAACCTACCAAGGTGGTTTGGCAGAAAGGTCAACCCTTGGAGAGCCCTGCAAGCCACATGCAGGGGCTGCTTTTATCCAGGTGTCTGGTATCCTTCAAATAACTTCAAGGCAGATCAGCCATTTCTCAAACCAACCCTCTACATTTGTCTACACTTTCCCTACTGTCTTTCAATCTTTAACACAGAAACACCACTCTTTGAAGTATGATTTAGGGCCCGTACTTTAATGAAAACTGCAAAGGTCACAGACTTACTGGAACCTCCATGTCCCTGTAGGTCACTCACTGTGTATCAGTAGTGGGTGCTGTCACTGCTTCCTTGTGTGAAGTTGACTGTGCTCTGCAGGAAAGTCCAGAGGGTCCTGGGTGCTAAGTAGCATTGGCCCTGCTCTCCTCATCAGTCACTGTGGAAACTAAATTTCCAAATGCTCCTTGGGATGGGAAGACTTGGTAACCATGATACCTAGTTTCTATCTCCTCCATCCACTGAAGTGCAGTATCCACAGATTTTTATGGATGGGGAAATGAAACAAGGACCTAGATGAGCCTAATAGTTACAGACAGAGCCTGTAGAAGAACAAGGCCTCTGGAATTCTGGTCCAAAGCACTTTGCATGTACCACGACAGTCTCTTCCCTTACGTTAGTGAAAGTTGAGGTAAGTGTGAAGGCTGTGCCTCTGACCATATTGAATTGCTGATTTAATGTCTCCTTTGTGCTCTTTCCCCCAGGGGAGGAAAGAAAGAGAGGAGAATGAAGGATGAAAGGGGAAAGAAGCACTATTAGAACCAGACCAAATAGGTTTTAAAAGCTGAGATAAGTGAGAAAGGAAGGGCCAGCAGGGAAAATGGCAGTGTAAGGGGGCAACAGGAGAGGAGACAGAGGAAAGATGCAAGAGTATGACGATCTCAAAATTGGCCTAAAAGTGGTTTTTTAACCATGATTTAAAAAACAATCAGCCCAACTAAGCTAGCAAGTTTCCCCCAAATTCAGATACTAGATCTAAATGGCACAAAACCAATCACCTTTTCCCAACCACAGGTGTTGGGAACATCTTCGTGACTGCTGTTGGTAATTCATTAAGGATTCTGCACCATCTATGGGTAGCAACTCTGTTACAGGTCCTAGAAATACAGCGAGGTATGGTCTTTCCTTTCGTGAAACATAGCCTGGCAGGGAAGATAGCATTTAAAATCAACCACAAGCCAGGTCCATCAGTAATGACAGCTGGTATCTGCAAGCAGCTAATGTGTGCCAAGCACACTCAAGCATTTTTTTCATTCCATTCTCACCACAACTCTTTGAGTTAGGTGTTCTTATCTCCATTTTTCAGATAAAGAAACAGCCTCAAAAGGTTAGGGGACTTGCTTAAGGTCATGTAGCTGGGATTGAACCCAGCTGATCTAGATACTGTAATATATCACCTGATACTACTACTGATTGAGCAGCCTTAATCCAAAAATCTGAAATCCAAAGTGCTCCAAAATGTGAAACTGTTTCAGTGCCAACATGCCATCCAAAGTGGAAAATTCCACGTGACAGGTTACAGCCAGGACAAAGGCAAACTAAAAATACTCTATAAAATTACCTTCAAGCTATGTGTATAAGATGTATAGGAAACAAATAGATTTCATATTTAGGCTGGAGTCTCCTCTCAAGTAAACTCATTATGTATGTGCAAATATTCCAAAATATGAAAAAAATCCAAAATCTTAAACACTTCCAGTCCCAAGCTTTTCCCATAAGAGACACTGAACTTGTAGAAGATACAATGTATTTTGGAAGGCAAGTGTACAGTACATTTAGAAGTAATGCAACAGTCCTTTTTGCTATGTATTGTCTGAGATTCTGACTTATACATTGTTTTCTCAAGGAGAAAGCAAAGAGAAAACTCTTTTCCCATTGCCCCCTTACTGCACCCCATTCTCTTCTGATTACATTGTGTGATGGCTGCTTTATTTAAAAATCTAAGGTGCCCACCTGGGGAAGCAGATGCTAAATCTCAGCCCTGTCTCCTTGACCACTGTTTGAATTGGTTGCTGTTTCATTTCAGGTCCCCTTTTAAGATAAAGATGAATCAACCATCTCAAGTGAATTACTGCAGAATTATATCCAGTTGATTTTGTTACTATGCAAAATATTTTAAGAGTCAGGGAAACTTGAGTTTCTTCATTTCTTATTTTCTGAGAGAAAATACATCTGTGTCTCTTCCATTTAGCCCTGGCTCACAAGCCCTTATCTAATACCTCAGAGATAGACCTAAATTGTTAAGCATTGCATTTTTTTTTTATTTAACTTGATGACCCCTGTGAAAATAAACCCAAGAGATCAAGTGATGGGGAATGTTTTCCAAAATAAATACTAACTAGAAATGTGTCTTCTTAATGTGTGTCTGTGTGTGTCTGTGTCTGTCTGTCTCATTTTTTTGTGTGTGTGGTTGAGTCTGAATGCTAATATTGTTCATCAGAGCTAAACCTTTTAAAATTATTTTTTCTTTACAGGGTCGTCATGTCAAAACAGGCCAGCTTGCAGCCATCAAGGTTATGGATGTCACGGGGGTAATGTATCTTTATCTTGTTATCTCAGTAGCTATATGTTTGTAACAAAGAAATTAGTGATAGAAAATAATTGTTTTCCAGAAGAATAATCTTCCTATTTAAGATCTTTTTCCACTGTGCTTCACATAAACAGTGAGTTTGTGACAGCTTCACAAAGACTGTGGATAAATTAGTCTAATGAAAGTCAATACTTATATGCTACTTTAGGAAGGTAGAGTGAAATGTGCGCCAAAAATTTACATAAACACAACCAGTGATATTTGCATATGAAGGCAGACAAGGATTTCAAGGTATTAAAAGAATAACACTCAGATTACGCAGAAAAGATGGTCTTAACAGTTTCCCCAAAGGTCTACCTAACAGTGGAGTATACAACAGCTTGGATAGCTCTAAAATCCTAATGGATATTTAACATGAATAGTTTCTAAAACAAACTATTTTTGATCAAGTAATCACATAACCACAAATTCTTACTTATTACAGAGCAACACTGAACCCAATTTCTGCCTGGATAATCAAAAGCAATCTAAGGAACAGACTTTATTTTAAATACAATCTAATGCTTTCACGCCTTTTGCTAGATCTATTTAAAATATTTTAATGCCTTTTCAAGAGTATAGAGCAAAAATCAGTCTAGAAAGGATTCACAGGACATCAAAATCATGCTAATAATTTTCTGTTGTCCTAGGAATTCTTCTATGTCTGTCTGCTGTACATGAAAGGTAATAGACCAAAGTCTCTATTTGGCCTAGAAGTGGCATTCTCAGTGTAAACAGACATAGAATGAAGGAGACACACAAAGGTATCAAGAATCAAAATTCAGATAAGAAAAACACACAGTATATCTACATGTCAGACTTTAAGCCATAGCTTTTCAGGCTCAGTTTTTTACCTTTGATAAGTATATGTTACATGGTTATTACCTACCATAACACCAATTTCACTGTTTTCATTTGTACCATACATTGTACTGACTTGTTTACTTATTTATTCCTTATTTATTATTGATCTCTTTAAATTCTATTCAGGGTTCCAGGCACAGTAGTTCACACCTGTAATCCCAGCTACTCAGGATACCTAAGTAGGAGGATCAAGGTCTGAGGCCAATCCTGGGCAAAAAAGCAAGACCCTGTCTGAAAAATAACTAAAGCAAAAACAGGTTGTGGAGTGTGGCTCAAGTAGTAGGGCACCTGCTTAGCAAGTATGAGGCCCTAAGTTCAAACTCTGATACCACAACAAATAAAAATTATATTAAAATATTGTATGATTAATAAAAATGAAAATTCAAATATAGTTAATAGAAGCAAAACGTTCTGTTACTATGTGTTTATTATCACTTGGATGAAGTTTTACTTCTTTTTACTTGTCTTAAATCCATTATTCCATTTTCAGAGGTTGCAAACCAGTTCAGACATTAATCTTAATTAGTTTATTAACTCACTTGGCCTTTTCTGACTACAAAATCATGTGTGGATTATGTTAATTCAGATCAACTTGTGCCACTTGAAACAGAAGATGAAGCATGATAGAAGTGTCTTGCTCTCTCATGTTAAAAGACCTGGAAGTTGATAGTCCAGAATTGCATGCAGCATTGTGGTGGAGTGGAGGATGATTTTATCTTTTTTCCTCTGTCATTCTGATACTCAGCCTCCCTACTTAACTTCACTTCATGGTTCAAGGTGGTTGTTGAATTTCCATTGATCATACTGCATGATGGGCTAAAACGAAAGAAAGAAAAAAGCCCTAGGTGAGCAGAAAGATACAGAAGGGTCCAGTGAAATTTTTTTCTCCTTGTATATGTCACCACTTCTGTTTTCACTGGCCATGTCTAGATGCAAGGGAGCCTGGGAAATGTAGTCTTTCATTCTCCCAGTGTGTTCACTTATAAATATAGGTTCTATATGTCAGAGTGAAGGAGGAATGGGTTTCAGAATGGAATGTACCCCAACCCAGCACAACAATTTAAAAAAAAAAAAAGGATGGTCAATTATCAGGGTCTGACACAAGAATAAAAGTCATACGATTAGTTTCTATGTAGAAACCCATTGTAAATGTGTCAGCCTTTTACAAAGCACCAACCACAGAACAAAACAGAATTTCTTTTGCAATTCTGCTGAACTCTTACTGCTGTATTTTCCTTGGATGGGATCGGCTCTCCACACAATGAGATGCACTTGGCAGTTTTACAACTGATGATTGTGGATGGAATCCAACACATTCATGCTGTAAAGTAAGTTCTGCTGTGTGGTTCCACAGAACTACAGTTGAGTTCTACTGACATCATTGACATCATTGATGTTAGTGCACAGAGTTATTTGCTGATACACAAAGTGTGACTTGAGAACATTGACTATTACTCTCCTAGTCTTTGGTTCTATGTTTGAGGCTTTGAATTGCTCAGAGAATCACTCAGTGTTGCTAGACCACCTTTCTTAAAATCAAAAAGTAATAGTTGCTTATCCTACATATGCATTTTCAGGTTAAGAAGTGCCAGTGTGCCCTTCTTAACTGGGTTTCAATAGGCAGCTAAGCCCCACAGAAAATGATTTGAGAGCTTTTCTCTCAATTCTCCCAACACTGACACAGAGCAAATGGAATTTTACATGTGTAGGAATGTCAACCCATTAAATACAATGGATGCTTTATAGTGTTTGGGTCATTTCTCTTAGAGAACTCCTGTTTAGAAGGACTGAATGAGTTTCTGTGACTTAGTTACATCATTGGCTATTATTTAACCAGTGATCCTTAACAAAGGCAAACATGTATACACATCAGGAAATGGTTTTCTTATTTCTATGGTGTCTGATACAGCTTCAACTGACTGTTGTATCATCCTCTTACACATCACAGTCAACATAAGATTTCCTTTGTGAAACTCATGTGGAGCCTTTAGAAAACAATCTATTCCATTTTGCCACGTTGTCTTTTGTGTACCATGAAATGCTTCAAACACTTCTCACCAATTATTATAATTGTGCTCATTATAGCTGCTCTGCTAAAAACTGAGATGAATTCTCAAAGGTCGTCTTTGTTGATTGTATGCTGTGACCTACTACGGTTATCATAGTTTATTGTAATGAAATTGATGAGACCATAAGCTTGAAATTAATTTTTAAATTATTGTTTGTATTCTATACCACTTTCTTTTTATAGAAAATAACCATAGAGAAACTGGATACAATGCTTTTCTCCTTCCAGTTTTAGAACTGAGCCATTTCCAGATTTGCCATTTGCTTCAGAATTATTACTTGCACTCAGACTTGGTCTTTGAAGTTCTTTTAGTTCCCAAAATCATTCTGGAAATGTTCTCATTTCATTGCTTTGGGGGATTCCTTCCTCACTGAATTTGTGTACTGTAGCTTTACCTACAACAGCTATGAGGGTTTGAACCTTCTAGAGGAGTGTTTCTAAGTAGACTACCAGCCTCAGTGGACCATTACTGCTCCAGGCTCCAGCTTCAGGCTCGTGTCCTAATTACCTCATTACCATGAGACCCAGAAGAAGGCCAGTCTGCACATCGTGGCCCTGCTCGAGTTGTGACCCCATCCTCTCTCTGATACTCTTCTGTGAGGTCTGACTTAGATGCCTGTCTCTGGAACTTACTATATGGACTGAGAGATAGGGAGGGTTGATTCCTCAAAGAAAAACCTGAACGCTATTAGAAAAACCAGGGGAAAGGATGTTGGGTAGGCAAAACCAGGAGCTTTCCATTAATATATCATATCGTATCATTACAGCAAGTGTGCTCAAAACTGATTTGGTCCTTAAGTGTCTCTGTAGTTAATTTTTTATATTCTAGCCCCAAATAATAACAGTGGTAGCTAATATTGATGGAGTGATTATTATGATCCAGAACTCCTTTAAATACTTTGTGTATACTTTAATTCATTTGATCCTCTCAACAACCTACATCTGTCCATTTTAGAGATGTGAAACCAGCCATGTTCAATGTCTTGCTCAATGTAGCTTGGCCATTAACTGGTAGAGTGAGTATTTCAGCCTGAGCTATTTTATTCCATTCTTTAAGTCTGCCCTCTTACTCTCATTGCTATAGGTCTTCAATTAATGAAGAAGAGTATTTAGTGTTTATTTTAGTGTGATTCTTTTTTCATTGACTTACTCAACAAACATCTACTAAACACCTAATTTTATGACAGACACTGAAAATTGAAAGATGAAAAGTGGGTCCTTTATCTAAAAAGGAGCTCACAATAGTACAGTCCTACCCTAAAAATTTACAAACCAAATCCAATAACTTTTGTAATAGGTGATAAAAATAAAAAATGAAGTTACTTATCAAGTTTGACAGGACAGACAGTCATCACTGGTTAAACCCAGAAGGACAACCAGACAAAGTCATTCCCATCCAAATAAACTGTTTGCCAAGACATGGAGACTGAGACAACATGTTCTGGAAACGGTGTTGTTTAGTTTTGATGTTAAAAACTGCAAAGGAGGGATTGATACAAGATAAATCTGAAAAAATTTGGGCCAGTCATGAAGGAATTGAATACTGTGACAAGGAGTTTGCAAGGTTTTCAATTTTTTTACATTCCCGATACACCACTTTGATCAAATAGTTCTGAGGACAACCCAATATATAAAAGAGCTATAAGGAGGTTTGCTTTGCTTTTAAACCAGGATTAGGGGGTCTTAAGTGCTCTCCTTTCCCCCAAAGCACTGCTAGACCCAATGCCAGAGCCAGAGGTGAACAGGAGAACAGTGCAGTGCATTTTGCCTGATAGGATTTATCTTAAGCCCTGCTTCACGGAGTTTCTGTTGCTGTCTTCCTGAGGACCAGTCCCATCTCTTTTTGAAGAGTACGGAAGTAGATTTCTCCCAGTGGCCTCTGGTAGAGGAATTTGCCCATATTAAAGAGCTCAGTAAATATTTGCTGAAATTGGAGGGAAAAAAAGAAGTGTTTCCATCTTGGGTTGTTTGGTTGACTCAAGGGGTCACACTGCTCCCAGTCCATTTGGCTCCTCTCTCCCACAAGGAGG